AAGGTACACTACTGATGATGTGTCTCGAAATTCCTCCTCTAAAAACCTTATTAGCCCCAGTTCTAAAATAGCTAGGTTCCACCCTGGCTCCTTTCAAAGGAGCCGAGGGCTTCTGGGCGCTTCTTTCAGGCGCCACTAAGAGTGTTCAACTTATCTGAAACTCTTAGCCTCTACCTCTTGCTCTATCTACCCCCCTTCTCTATGACTGACAACTGGATGGGTAGATTGAATCAACGTGCGCCGGCCAGTGCTCCCCCGCGTGCTCTACTTTAAACCGGCAATTGCCTTAACAGGCTTGTCGGGGAGTACGTGAGTATCTTCATAACCCTAACCCTAACCCTAACCCTAACCCGGAGACAAGGTCCTTGTGTTGTTTCCCTTGCAGTCCAATCCATTGCAGGCTAGATTTCATGGTCCTTATGAAATTCTGACAAAACTCAATGATCTCAATTACATTGTGAAGACTCCAGATAGGAGAAAGCCAAAACAGTTGTGGCACATTAACATGCTGAAGCCTTATCATGATAGGAATGTTAGGGTTGCAGCTGTCACTTCAGATCCACCCATGGCCGAGACTTGTGAAGATGAGGGGGAGTTTCAAGATGATGAACCTAGAATTAAAGCTGAAGTTCTTTCATGTAAATTGTCCAATTCTGAAGTGTTGCAAAATCTTGATGTAAAACTCCAGCACTTAGAACCCTCACAGAAAGATCAGTTTGAGAGGTTGATCAAGAAATATAAAGATCTATTTCCTGATGTTCCAAAGAGAGTTTCTATAGCCTATCATGATGTAGATGTTGGTAATGCCGAACCAATAAAACAGCATCCATATCGGATGAATCCTGAAAAGAGAAAGATTGCTGAGAAAGAGGTTGAGTACATGTTAGAACATGATATTATCAGACCCTCTAACTCAGATTGGAGTTCACCCTGTGTTCTAGTTCCAAAACCTGATGGAAGTACTAGATTCTGTACAGATTATCGCAAAGTCAATGCTGTAACTAGAACTGATGTGTTTCCAATACCTAGGATTGATGATTGTATCGATAGAGTAGGGCAAGCAAAGTTTCTGACGAATATTGATTTATTGAAGGGTTATTGGTGTGTGCCTTTAACTGAGAGGGCCAAGAGCATCTCTGCTTTTGCCACACCATCTGGGTTTTACCAGTATGAAGTCCTACCCTTTGGCATGAAAAATGCCCCAGCCACGCTCCAAAGGATGATACAGTCTACAATCGCTGGATTGCCACACGGAATGCGTGCATCGGCGACCTGATCACATGGAGTGACTCCTGGGAAGAACATCTGAAAGATGTAGAGACGTTGTTCCAGCGCTCGACCCAGGCTGACCTGACTGTTAACCTGAACAAGAGTGACTTTGGTTGTGCTACTGTCACGTATCTTGGCTACGTCATAGGCCAGGGTAAGGTGGCACCCATAAATGCTAAAGTCCAAGCCATCATGGACTTTCCAGTTCCTGACAACAAAAAAGCTTTGCGCCGCTTCCGTGGAATGATCGAGTACTACCGCAAGTTCTGCAAGAACTTTGCTGAGATTGCTCTCAGTCT